GGGTAGCAGGCTAGAGCAAAGAGATGAGAACAGCCCAGATACTAAAACACTCTGCTCACTTCTGCTGGGCTGGCATCTGCTGCTTCTCCCAAGCTATAGTCTGGGCTTAAACATGCCCACACCCTCTCTAGATCCTGGTTCTCAATTTCGGTTTAACAAGGCAGGTGTAAAAAATATGTTAGTCCAAAGTTAGGGGACAGCCCCCCCCCTTTCCCACACACACACACACCAGGGTCTGTATAGATTTGCACCTAATGCAGCTTTGCAGGCTCTCCTGTCCCAGCCGCCCCTCTCCAGCGATGTTTCCACGTGCTTTCCTCGCAAGCCTTAACTTCGCATGGTTAGCCCTGAGCGAGGGTTGCAAAGCCCTTTGCAGCAGTGTGGCCCCCGAGCCCTGCCCCGGGGTACCGGCTGTGGCCCTGCCTTAGCCAGGAGGAAACCGGAGGGCGAGTGTTGCACCAGATTAGCAGTGCACGAGGTCCCGATAGGGGCCGTGGGACAGCTGCTGCGCATCAGCACACCCCCCCTGTCGGGGGGGATCCTTATCAGAGTGCTGAAATAATTGACAGCTTGTGGTCTGTCGGGGGGACTGACACCCTTTTTAGGGTGCTTCGCTCTGCTGGAGCTGTGGGAACCACTCAGAGGTTTATAGCCCTGCCGGACAAGCAAAGCATATGCAAATGGAAGGTATTATATAAATGACAAAATAATTTCAGTTCTGCAACTTGGTCCTCTTGGAGCAGCTTCCCAAAATACACTTTTTGGCCCCTCTCTGGGAGAAAGCATCAGACCAGGCCTCTGTTAGCCCTAAAAGTCTCGGTGTCTGACCACAGCTCCCATGTCTGAATTCCTTCCAGCTTTCTACTTTGGGATCTGCCTCAGCATGACCCTGATCCTCGCAGCCTTGCTGAGCTCGGCCGCCACGGTGCGGGAATCACAGTGCCTCACCGCCATGGTGCGTACTGGGGGGGACTGCCTGGGAGGGGCTTTTTGTAACCTTGGATTGATACCCTTAAAATGTGGTGCCAGGGGGGAGCTGTTTCACCTTGTGCCCAGGAGCATGCATGCCTGTTCCTCCACCCTGTCCTGCAAGGGGACATTTTTGTAAAAGGCATGACCTTGCAGAGCCCTTCCAGCTGAAGATTGCATCTTTCTGCACCTCCTTTCGTTTGCCAGTGTGTTGTGTATGCAGCTTTCAGAGCGGGGTCAGAGGGAGCTGCTTATCTGCCAAAGCCATTGCAGTGGTGACGACTCCCAGCATATTTTTTTTTTCTTACCAAGTCAACATGTGGTTTGTGTGGGGAAACCTTAGCAGTGCAATTTTGAGTCCCACGTTGTTCTCCGACTTGTGGCAGAAAAGTGAGTCCTCCTCCTTCACCCCTTGCTGCAAACATCCACCACGGTGGTGGTGCAGGGCATACAAAGCACGGCAGCAGGCATGGGGGCTTTGGGCTGGACCCTCAGTTTCAGCCTCCAAGGAGAAGGTGGAGGGAGGTACCACAAGGGCTGAAAAGCCACCTTTCTCCTCTCCATCATGTCAAGTGCCTGTTTTGGCCCGGCTCATGCCAGCGTTAGTAAACTGGACTGTGAGCTCAGCTCCATTTCAAAGCACAGCCTGTACACAGGGCTTGGTCTGACTGCAGAGGCTGCCAGCCTCGGGGCAGGAGGGATGAGGGGAAAAGCGCGGCTCACTGCATGTCTGTCCGTGCTGTGTGAAGGGCAGGAGGTAACAGGTAGGCTGCTGTGCCTACCTGGATATGGACTGGCTATAAGGAAGAAATTCTTTACAGTGAGGGTGGTGAAACACTGGCAGGGGTTGCCCAGAGAGGTGGTGGAGGCCCCATCCCTGGGAACATTCCAGGCCAGGTTGGACGGGGCTCTGAGCAACCTGATCTGGTTAGCGGTGTCCCTGCTCCCTGCAGGGGGGTTGGGCTGGGTGACCTGTAGGGGTCCCTTCCAACCCAAAACAGTCTGTGATTCTGTGAAGCCATGCTTCATATAAAATAAGTGCATTGCTGTCATACATAAACTAGCTTTCAAGAGATTTATCTAATCTATGTAACTGGGGAAAACGATACTGATGGTGGAAATGAGAAGCAGACACCTTTAAAACTTAGCACAAAGCGGCTACTGAAGTTAATGTTTTCTCCTTCTCAATATGCAGTCTTCCTCGCTCTGTCCGAGATGCTCCAAGGGGGCTGAGTGACACAGTTCCCATGAATACTGCTGGCAGAGTACATCTAATTCCCCTCTCTTTTGCTGAAGGGTACTTTAGTGTTTGCCTCCAGTTACTGCATCAAAAAGAACAGACGGGTATGTGTACAGGCTAGGGGAGATTGTCAGGGCTGCCTGAAAATATAGTTGAAATTCTCTGTACTGGTGATTTGGTTGCCTTACTCCATGCACAGTATGGTTTGGGACATGCCTCTAGGTAAAAGAGGTTGTTAAAATTACAGCATTTTCCTGAAGGGGTAGTTGAAGGAAAGCATATCCAGCAAACTCCAGTGTTGCTGGCCCTCCTCCAAGGGCCACCTGATGCTGTTCTCCTTTCCCCTTGCTGGGTGGCGGGTGAGGATGAGCAGGTCCCTCCCTCCAGCCCCCCCCGTGGACTCCCGCAGCCCAGCCCGTTTGCTGTAACACAGCTATGCTCTGGCCACCAAAGAAACCCCTGGCTGGCAGAACCCCGACCTGAGCGATTTACTTTTCTCTGTGGCTCCTGTTCAGGGAGGTATCCTGTTCACTTTGCTTTAGCATTTGCAGTTTGGGTCCTCTGGGGGAGGCAGCTGTCTTCATTTTGGATTGCTGCTGAGACCATTGCCGTGAAGACACAGTATAATTTCCCTGGGGGAAGAGGGGGAAGGTTGCAAGGTGCCTTCCCCATGCCTGTGGCAACAAGGCATCCATCCCACTCTGCTCTCAGCGGGGATAACGGGATGAATCATAGAATCATAGAATCATTTGGGTTGGAAAAGACCTTTAAGATCATCGAGCCCAACTGTTAACCT